TAGGGATAGGGATAGGGATAGGGATAGGGATAGGGATAGGGATAGGGATAGGGATAGGGATAGGGATGGGGTGCGGGGAGGGGGATGGAATGGGGCGGGATGTGGGCAGGGATGCGGCGCAGGAGGGGCCGACCGCAGGGCAAGGGCAGAGCGGGGCTGCGGGAGAGCTGCGGGGAGCGGAGCCGTGCCGGGGCGCTCCGCCCGGTGGGGGCGGGCTGGGGCCGCTGCGTGCGGCGGGAGGCCGTGCCGAGGGGGGGGCACCGGGCGGCGGCCGAGCTCCACCGGCTGCGGCGTCACTGCGGGCCTGCAACGAACCGGCACCGAACCGGCACCGCCATCGGCACCGCGCGGGGTGCGCGACGGCCCCCCCCAGCCCCCCGATGGGCCCCGCCGGCAGCCGCTGGCCGCTGGTCGGCACCGTGCTGATGGCCGTGGCCGCTTCGCTGGGTGAGTGAGCGACGCGGAAGGGGGAGGTGGAGGTGGGGAGCGGGGGGGGGGGGGCGGTGACAGTGGGACAACGCGGTGATTCGGGAGCGCGGCTCCGCTGCACCCTCGGCTGCTCCGCGGAGGGGCCGCGCGAGAAGCTCGGCTTCCCCGCCCTGCAAAGCCCAGCGGGGGGCGGCGGTGCGGGGCTGTGCGCGGTGCGGAGCCGCCGTCCGCCGCCGTGACCCCGCGGTTCCCGGACGCCGTAGCCGGGGCTATTCCGGGAGTGCGGGCGGCAGAGCCAGAAATAGAGCGGGGGAGGATGGGGCCGGGCGGGGGAACGCGGGGATGGGATGGAGAGGGGACGGGGATGTGGGGACGCGGGGATGGGACGTGGGGATGTCGTGGAGAGGGACGTGGGGGAGCGGGATGGGCCGAGGAGGTGAATGGGAGGGAATATGGGGGTGGGATGGAGCGCGGTGCGGGGACGTGGGGACGGATTAAAGGGGTGTGGGGACAGGGGCAGAGGTGGGGATAGGGGTGGGTATGAGGGCGTGGGGATGGGATGGAGCCGGGTATGGCGATGTGGGGAGGGATGGAGCGGGGTATGGGGGTGCGGGGCAGGATGAAGTGGGGGTAAGTGGGAATGGGACAGAATAGGGTACAGGAATGGGGGAACCGCATGGGGTGAAGTGTGGGGACAGGAGAGTGGGATGCAGCGAGGTATGGGGATATGAGAATGGGATGGAGAGGGGTACGGAGACATGGGGACAGCGTGGAGCGGGATGTGGGGACGTGAAGGGGGGCACAGTGACACGGGGACAGCGTGGAGTCCGGTGCAGGGATGTGGGGACGGGACAGAGCGAGGCACGGGGTGCAGTGACACACAGGGTCCCCACCCGGAGCTGCGGACGTGGGCTGCTGCTGGTGGCACCGAGGTGACAAGGGTGGTCCCCAGTGGCGGGGGGCGAGGACTGCCTGTGGTACGTGGACAAGAACGGCTCGTGGCATCCCGGCTTCGACTGCGAGGCTCTGTCGTTCTGCTGCGGCTCCTGTCACCAGCGGTACTGCTGCTACGACCCCCTGCGCCTCCTGACCGAGCGCCAGCAGCGCCACTGCCTCGCCTTCAGGTGCTGGGGCTGCACGATGCCGGTGCTGGGAGTCACTGCTGGGTGATGGGCATCAATCGGTGCTGGGTGCTGGGTACGGGGTGATGGGTGTCATTGCTGGGTGATGGGAGTCACTGGTGGGTGATGGGAGTCACTGCTGGGTGCTGGGAGTCACTGCTGGGTGCTGGGAGTCACTGCTGGGTGCTGGGATTCACTGGTGGGTGATGGGAGTCATTGCTGGGTGCTGGGTGTCATTGCTGGGTGCTGGGAGTCACTGCTGGGTGCTGGGAGTCATTGCTGGGTGCTGGGAGTCACTGCTGGGTGATGGGAGTCACTGCTGGGTGCTGGGCATCAATCAGTGCTGGGTGCTGGGAGTCATTGCTGGGTGCTGGGAGTCATTGCTGGGTGATGGGAGTCATTGCTGGGTGCTGGGAGTCACTGCTGGGTGCTGGGTGTCATTGCTGGGTGCTGGGAGTCATTGCTGGGTGCTGGACATTATTGCTGGGTGATGGGAGTCACTGCTGGGTGCTGGGCATCAATCAGTGCTGGGTGCTGGGAGTCATTGCTGGGTGCTGGGAGTCATTGCTGGGTGCTGGACATTATTGCTGGGTGATGGGAGTCACTGCTGGGTGCTGGGCATCAATCAGTGCTGGGTGCTGGGCATCACTGCTGGGCGCTGGTATCTGGGTGCTGAGAGTGGGCGCTGGGTGCTGGGCTCTGGGTGCTGAGCAGCACTGCTGGGTGCCTGCTTTTGGGCTCTGGGGTCAGAGCGCTGTCCCTCAGCCCTAAGACCATCGCGGGCATCGCCTCGGCCGTGGTGCTGTTCATCGCCATCGTCACCACCATCGTCTGCTGCTTCATGTGCTCCTGCTGTTATCTGTACCAGCGGCGGCAGCACCTCCGCACCCCCCTGCAAGGTGGGAGCTGGGGAGGGGGCTGAGAGATGTGGGTGTAGGGTGGGGGTCTGGGGGGGTGTAGGGTGGGGATTGGGGGTGCAAGGGGGGATTTGGGATACAGAAGGAAAGATTTGGGGTGCAAAGGGTGGGGGGTGGAGTACAGAAGGAGGGCTTTGGGGTGCTGGCTGGGGGATTTAGGGTGCGAGGGAGGACTTGGGATGCATGGTGGGGGATTTGGGATGCAGGGTGGGGGGCTCGGGGTTGGCACAGCAGAGGGCAGCCCCCACCTCTCTCTCCTACAGGCCCTGAGATCCCGCTGGCCAGCTATCCTGCACCCCCACCTGCTCCCTTCCCTGTGGACCCCAAAGCCGGCCCCATGCCCCCCCAGCCCGGCTTCGCCCCCATGGCCATGTACCCACCCACCGGCCCCGCCGCCCAGTACCCGCTGTACCCCTCAGGACCCCCGGTCTACAACCCTACAGGTGAGCACTGGGTCCCCCTTAAAAGCACCACAGCCTTTTGGGGGGGCCCACACCGACTCCCCCCTTCTCTCTCCGCAGCACCACCACCCTACGTCCCCGCACAGCCCAGTTATCCCGGTGCCTGAGCCCCCCTGGGGACTCCTGTCTCAGTGGTGACACCCATAGGGGACACAGCGGGGGGGGGGGTCCTGCTGTCCCC